TTTCACGCCTAAGGGAGGTTCCATGGCCCCTTGTAGGATACCATTTTTTTCACCCTATTATAGCCCCAGGAGTCATGGCAATACTCTGTCAAAATTTTGTTCGATTCTGTCCATCCGTTTAGGCTGCAACGTGGCACATACATACATACATACTTCCACAAATATATAGTAGATATATGTATGTACGTACATAATCGAAAACGGCAATAAATGAATTAATAACAAACGAAACGCAAACATTTCTAGAAAAAAAGGAAAGCACAGATATACTTATTATCACAAAATAAAGCATAACTAAGACATTTTTTATTCGATTTTAATTTTCTTATGACTTTTGGAAAACTGATTTTATGTCCTTTTTTATAAAGATACACTAATTTTTTTTCTGCCTCACGATCAAATAAGAGCGCGAAGAAAATGAAAGTGTTTTGAAAAATTTCCTTTTTTGTTAATTAAAAGACCAGTACTAAGCCCTTCTCCAACCGATTCTCAAAATTTTTTCATTGTTAGAAAAGCCACGTCTTTCAAACAGAAAAACAAATTTTAAATTCGACCATAAAAAAAATTGAAGTTGTAACTTGAAGAATAACAAAGTTTTATTATATTTGATAGCAAAACACTAATAAACGAAGTGATGGAGAAAAACTATAAGTATAGTCGTGCCCTATGGTCTATAAAAAAACATAATTTCTATATGAGAACCCCTGCATATTTTTTGTGTAGCACAGTGAAATTATAATGTTAATGCAAAAAGAATTCATTAGAATTATTTCTTCGGAATTATTATTATTTCTTCGGAATTTCAAAAATTAATGAATTAATTTTTTACACTAACATTAAAATGCTATGCATTTAAAAATTAATGCATTTTTCACAACTCTGCTTTGATCACAGTATACAGTAATCCAGATAGACAAAACAAAAAATGTATGTAAATATCGAGCCCTAACCGCCAAAATAACGTAAGCGACATATTTTTCAACATTTTTTTTTTTGACGCAGAAATGCATATTGATGCTCTAGGAATAGTTCTGCATCAAAAAGAAAATTTTGAAAAAAATGTCGCTTACGTTATTTTGGCGGTTAGGGCTCGATATGCTTATTTGACAATTTTTTGGAACGTATTGGTTGATATTTTTTCACAGTTTTCGTTTCCGTTAACCCAAATGAAATTCAATTTGAATATTTTCTTATAGTAAAAAATATTTTCAAGTCACTTAAAATAAAATAACGAAAAAAATAAAATTCCAAGCAACTCAGGCGTGAAGCGTAAGCGATTATGACCACATTCAGTTCCTAGATAAGTCATACCGAGTTCTGAGCACAACTGTGAGAGAATAATGGTGGGCTGACTTTTGAAAATGGTTCTATCGATTAAAGGGTAAAACTAGTATTACTTAGCTTAAAGGTAGAAATCTCCAATTTTAAAAAATACCACTCTTACATATTGTGGAGACCTTCATAGGCGAATTACTTTAAAGATAGTAACAGCTTTTGATAGAAATTTTGATTGAATATCTGTCTAAAAAGCTGTTATTAACTCTAAATATTACTTATGGCGTTTTTTTTTCTCGAAAAAAATGTCCCCTTCTTATGTGGCAACATTATCAGAGTGCAGCATTTTAAAGAAAGAGCACACAATATGCATGTGAAGATACTGATAAAGGAACACGAAAACTTGACAGCCCTGGCGCAGGGCAGTATAAATGCAACATTGTTTCGAGAAAAGAAAACGCTATTAATTTCGACTGCGGACTTCGCCTACAAAAATATGCACACTTATATCAAAATATTCAGAATGACGAGCTAAATCCATTTAGCCGTGCCCGTGTGTAAACAGGCTAGCAAAATTTAGATATCTTAACGAAACTCGGTGCTGAAAAAATACCTGATACAAACACAATCAGGTATTTTATTATCAAATTTTGGCGAAATCGGTCAATAATTAAAACAATGTTTTACTTTTTTTTTGGTGAATTTTGCTGTTTAAATTTACATTTCAAATATATCACCAAATATTTTTGGGTACTTTTCCACCACTCGTTGCCTATGGGGTAAAGATAAAAAAATTCATTACCTGCACATTGCTTTATGTATTAATTTTCAAATCAGCATTTTGTCAATGGCTAGCTTACTTTTTGAGCAACCATCAGATTTTCAGGGCAGCCATCTCTCCTTACAAAGGTTCAAAGGGCAGAGTGCTTTTTTTGGCTTAAAATTCTAAGAAGCTGACACAGAATTTTCTCGACGTTTTGCATTTTGTCTAGAATCGACCACGAATAAAGAAAGGGGCAATCAAAAGGCTAAATTTTTTGGTTAAAAAGAAAACACCATTAGAAACTTTTGCTTACAATCTTTTTCAGAAATATTTTCTGTGAATATGAGAGAATCCATGAAAAATTTTAATTGAGAACGTTTTTCAACCATGCCATTTAGGTTCAATACCAGCGTTGCCGAATTGACGATTTCGACGATTTTTCCCCCTGAAACGACGATTGTTTATTTTAGTTTTTCCACTTAATTCCTAGAGCATCTAGATGCATTTCCGGATCTTTTTGGCCTTTAGGGCTCGATATGTACATACATATGTATATATGTATGTATTGAATTTGTTAAAGGAAAACGTAATCCAAAATAAAACCTTGCTAGAATTGTTAACAAATCGTTAATTTGCACTGCTGACTTTCATTTGAAAGAGCCAGAAAACAGCATAGGGAATGCTATCCTGCCCACCTTTTGTTCATACGCATTAAAATATTTCTGCCTCGTGTGAATGAACTAAAAGTCCGAGGTATATGAACTAAATGTGCGCAGTGTGATATGTTTAGTCAAGATTATCTATCAGTTAGCAAATGCTCCTGTTAAACCCTTAACTGGATCAGGATATTTTAAAAATCTTCAAACCAATGGACTTCAACAATTTAAAAGCAGTTGTTTCAAATTTTTGTTAAAAATTACAAATCAACTTTTATTAATCCATATGCAGTGGGTTACCTTTTCTTTTGTAATGTGTCGTCATATTTATTATATGTAATTTATGTAATCTTGTTAGTATTTTTTATTGTTAAGAAAGCGTAATAAATAAAAGTTTTACTTCTTTTCAACGAAAAGACGATTTTTTAGGGAAATTGATGATTTTTCAGCGAAAGCTTTCGGCAACGCTGTTCACTGCAGTTGAATAACTGGCATGACACAGTTGTTTATATCCTGTACCTGTTTGCTTATCAGCTCTCTTAGAAATAATTTCTCTGCTCCAATTGAATAGAGAGTGTTTCTCAATCACTCTCATTTAGTTGCGCTGCATTCAAAATGTGCATATGTGCATATGTATGTATGTACATCGTTTACCATCTCTACTAAAATTCACGAAAGGGCGGCGAAGTTTTGCGAAAATCACATGAAAAAGCCAGTACGAACCATAAGGCGCTTTCGTTTATAACATGGTCGAATTGAGAACAAAGTTATCCTGCCTCCGAAGTGAATTGGGTGTTAGCTGTGTATATCAGTGTTGATAATTTTGATACAATTGTGCTTTTTTGATACAATTTGAAGTGCTTTCTACTTTCCTACTACCAAGCACTTTTTAGTACGATTTCATCTGTAGCCGAAATTTGGCAGCACTTGATTCGTTAAGTTATACAACGCTGATTTGATTAATTTTTAAGGTGATAGATTTAGAATCGCATAAAATTTATATACGAGACGCGTGTTGTGTAGCAGAATCAGAATTGTTCATTTGCCAAAACAAAGAAAAACTAAGATAGGAAGATATTTTAAATCTTAGAAAAAACGTAAAACAATTTTTTGGAAACTTTTGTCGTACTATGAAGAATTTTAATGACAAAGCTCTAATTTGGGCTTCAAAGCTTAACGCTCCTTCTGTATTAAATATCAGGCAATATGCAAATTGTTCCACTAATACATTTATTGTTTCAGAAGTGTAAAATTGTTAGAATAGAAGACAACAACACAGAACTTAGGGCTGAACACCTTGATTTAAAACATTTTGTCAACCTCAATATTTGGGAGTTTTGGGAAAAAATAAGAATCCCAAAAAATGTTGTTAATGCACCACTATTTTCAAACACATACAACGTCGCTCAGAAATTTTTTCAAATGCACATTCTTCAGCCAATGTTGAAAAGGTGTTCTCCATACAAAAACTAATAAAAACAACATGTCGAAATAGACTTCAATTAGAAACAATTTCCTCTTTAATAAGAACTAGGGATTATCTTAATTCTAATGGTCAATGCTGTCATAACATAATAATAATAGATTGGCGCTTCAACATATGTTAGTGTTTGGCCGATCTTCTCCTCCGATTTGTGGCGTGCGCCGACTACGAAGGGCGATTGTATTTTTATGAGAAGCTGTTTTTGAAGGCAAAAATACACTCGGTGCAAGAATGATAGAATACATACTATTTCTCTCAATCGTGCATTCGGAGGTTTGCCATTGCCTGTCGAGGGGCGACCGCTGTTAAGAAAAAACCTCTTTTATACATTTTTTTGCGGCTTGAACCCAGGCGCTGCGGAGTGGAAGCGCTGTCATAACACAACATTGATAAAAAGTTCTGACACAGTTGAAACTACGAGTAATTATTTACTTTAATTTTCTGGAACTTACTGGCAACTTTGTAAATTTAAAAATATTCAATCATTGTAAATCCTTATGTTAATATACATTTATGTACTTACATACGTGCATTTAAAATCATAATATATTATGTAAAAGTCTGTAACGTTTGATGTTAATGAAATAAAGGTAATATTGTTTCTAAATTTTTAGAAACTATTTCAACTTTACTAGGGACAATAATTAAATACGAGTTGTACACAATAACTAAATATTAGAAAAATAATAGTAATCAAAATTTGGTACAATTTCAATTACATTTTCAAACGAAATCGGAAAATAAAATTATCAACACTGGTGTATACTTCGACTACTCTATGGCCTACTCTAAAATAAGTTTCTTGTATTGTAGATGCAGCAGGTAAAACTTAACAAATCGAGAGCAAAGGTTTTAGTCGGTTACAGAGTTTAGTCCTGTGCGGTTACGTTTAAGGTATGAACTGGTGGTGCAAACAAATCGCGGAGGCAATTACATGCAACGAGGACAAGAACGAATTAGGCGAATAATTACGATTAGGATGTTCTCAGCTATGCTATTAAAGAGACGAAGTACTTAATGTTTATATTGCAAACTACTATAGCTGGAGCATAAGTACGGTCGTTTGATGTAAGAAACATAAATCTTAATAAAAGAAAAGTGAAGATTCACAAAGGCATTCTTTCTGAAAAGTGAAATTTTTCTGTATGTATTTGTTTGGGAATATATAGAATACCTCTGTGTATAAGGATATACATATACCTTTATATTAAAAAGAATAAGAGAAATATGCCACTCAAATAAAAAAAAAATGTAAAAGTTGCTTTTTATTTATATGGATCCAAAGTTGTTACTTGTGTTGTGTACCTACCACAATTCATTAAACAAATTTACCTCATCGTTAGGCGGCTATGTGGACAACAGTTTTAGCCGATTTCAACATATAAATTATAAATACATACATATATACAGTGACAAGAAATAGTTATAACGAAAATATCTATCATAGCGATAAACGCGTGACAACAAATAATTTTTCGTTACTGTGTAGTAGTGGTGGCGGCTCCAGTTAAGACAACTCCCGCGGAAATAGTATTGACGCTGACACTCGCTCAAATTGCGGTTGTTACGAGCACGCTGACGAGGTCCATATTGTTGACAGCGCCTGTGGCGTCGCTGTTAGCTGCCTAAAGCCAAACACTTGTCAGTCAACCAAGTAACTTAACCAACAAATAAAAAAAAAAATATTATAAACCAACTGCCGAAATGCGGATTGTTGTCGATATGTATGTTTACCTACATATAAACAGCTAGAAGCGTGTGCGTGTCGCGGTTTAATTTTTTGCCAATAAGGTAGGAATTTCGTATGCTTTATGGTGCGAATAGTGCTCGTTAATGGTTCGTATACATTTCTATTTGTCGAGTGCGCCTGTGATTTGCAACAACAATTGACATAAAGGATCCCATATTTAAATTAAAGTGGACTATTTTTTATATTTTTTTTGTCTTCTCAATGTAAACAATTCAATTAAATTATAAAGCAGAATTTCGCTCAAATAAACTTAGTAAGTATCCCAAACTTTCACTTAGTTCGTAATCTTTTATAAAGCAATAAAAAGGAGTGCAAAATTTTGTAAATTCATTAGTTCGTCACTACCATGTCAAACTATCGAATGTGAAAATGGGTACTTTTCAGGAGAGCAATAAAACTGCTGTAAAAAATGTTGTTGTCATTAAAAAAAAAGTGGGATTCGACACTTTGTAAAAGCCAGTATCCTCTGCTTCTAAGAAGACCATTAATTTGACGGCTTGCCAACTCACCTATCATTCTAAACGCATGCGCAAGCTATATCGTAATTGAGAAAGCATTTTTGCACATTCGATAGTTTGACACGGTAGCGACGATATCTTAAAATCTTTTTTTGCGTACATAAGACACCTCAAGCTTTCAATCCGACTTGCGCAATTGCTAAAGTACTTAATTTTTTAATTAAAACTTTATTTCATTAAAACTTTAAATTAATTAAAACTTTATTTCATTCGCAAAAATCCTTATCGCGCAGTGGATATCGACCTTAAATGTTCAACGCGTGCTCGTTTTGCGATGCGTTTTAAATTGTAAAGTATTGTTCATGATGCAATAATGAAAGGTGTTGTCCATTGGCAACTTCTCGCTAAAATCCGCCATCCACGGATTCTAGTAAAAAAAATCCTCCATCCAGGCATTGGAGCCTCCGATATCTAAAGCCATATCCACTAGGTCTACTTCTAAAAATAGTCAAACCGTTGATTTAACAGTGTTGCCATCAACATCTCAAGCTGCACTGTCTAACTTAGTTCCTCCGAATAATTCGGAGCCCCGCACATCAGACATCATTACCAAAAAGTTGATTGTAATTCCTCCGAGAAGATCAATCTTTGTCTCTAGATTTGCTAAAGATACTTCTTCGGATTATATAAAGTCATACATATCGACTAAAATTAGAACTAAAGATGTATTTATTCGTAAATTTAATTTTAAATACAATCGCGATATTTCATCTTTTAAAATTGATGTAGCTTCCGAAGATTGTGATTCACTACTAAATAGTTCATTTTGGCCGACCGGGGCGTTGTTCGCGAGTTTGAGTATAAACCTAATAAAAGTAATAATAACGTAGCTAAAATTTCTAATCTTAATTCGGATTCAAAAAACTAACTCGCAAGTCTAATTTAAGTATTTACTATCAAAACGTTAGAGGTTTGAATACCAAATTAACTGACTTATATTTAAAAGGTTTTGACTGCAATTATAACATTATTTCCTTGACCGAAACATGGCTCAAACCTCATATTTTTAATTCCGAAATTCTTCCAAATGAATATCATTCATCGATACCATCCGAGGAAGTTAGTCTTCCTGTCATTGAATATACCGAATTTAAATGTATACGTGTACAGGCTGGAAAGACTTATATTTATTTAGCTCTTTGCTACATCCCTCCTAATTCTGCCGTATCAGTATATATGTAGCTAGTTTCTTTACATTTCATGGAACATCATTGACACCGATGTTGTACCAGTTTCATCTAGAGATAGTTACAATGTATTTCTGAAGGAAATGGCTGAACTTTGCCTCAAACAAATAAATATATGTGACCTGGTCTAGGGAAAGGGGGCTTAGGTGTCAAAAAATCAATTTTCACTTTTTGGTTGATTCGGATGGAAGATGAGATGCTTTTTCACGTGGTGAAAAGCAGAAAATCCTAACTTGCTTAGAAGTGTACTAAACATTTTTTTTAAATTTTAAATTTTTGAATGTTCCACACTAGCAACTTACACGATGAACTATAATAATATTCCGACCAACAACAACACTTACTGGACCAACAACAACACTTACTGGACGTCCGGCGCGGAGAACAATTAACGAGATAATGAGAAACTGACGAAACGAGTTGCTTACTTTTAACAGCTTTTTCACAGAAAACTAGTTTTCGCACGTAAGCTCCCTTTTCGTAGACCAGGTCACATATGTCCAAATAAGTTTGGAAAGGTCTTGGATCTCGTTTACGTTGATGATGTTCCGAAGGCCTCTATTAATCGGTGTGATCCCCTAGTTTTGCCGGAAGATGCATACCATCCTGCTCTTGAGTTAAGCTACGAAATCATAAATGAAACACATAATAATAAGTCAAGTTCAAGTACTAGATATGTTTTTGCGAAAGCAAATTTCAGGAAAATTAACAAAGAACTTTCAAAGTTATCTTGGCCAATATATAGAGATGACGTGGAGCGTAGCGTTGAGCACTTTAATGATACTATTTTCAATTTGTTTCGAAAGTATTTACCAAAACGTAATATTGTTCATGAAGAACCAACACAATTATCGTTCACTAAAGAGCTTAAAAAATTGAAAAATAAAAAGTCGCACTCTTTTAAACTGTATAAAAGAAGGGGCATACACAGTGATTACCTAAGGTACTCAGTTTTGCAGCATAGCTACTTTGCATTAAATAAGAAATGCTATAATTCATATTTATGTAAAATTAAGAAGAATTTAATTAACAATCCTAAATCATTTTATGGTTTCGTAAATTCAAAGCGTAAGGCACATGGTTTTCCGTCCGCTATGCATTATCGCAACACTGTATCTAGCGACAGCCAACTCATTGCCAACATGTTTGCTCGCTTCTTTAGGTCCAATTATTCTGTAGACTTCCCTATAAGTGGAGACTATCCGTACGAGCTTTGTCAAATCAACTCTGCTTATATTCCGGTAATATCTTCCGATGAAGTTTTACACTATTTAAAAACCTTAAAAGCGTCATTTAGGCCTGGACCTGATCATATTCCGACCTGTTTTCTTAAAAACAGCGCTGAGAACATTACTCTATTCAATTTGTCACTTAAACATGGCGTTTTTCGGTCAGCGTCTTTCATAATACCACTTCACAAAAACGGCAGCAGGTCCTCTATAGAAAACTATCGAGGCATAGCGAAACTCTCCGCTATCCCCAAATTATTCGAAGCAATTATTATTAACCAGCTGACATATTCTATATCTTCTTCAATTACACAATCTCAACACGGGTTTTCTAAAGGAAAATCTGCTATGACTAATTTATTGGAGTTTACAACTCATGTCTCAAACGGTTTTAGAGAAAATGCTCATACCGACGTAATATACACCGATTTCAGTAAAGCTTTTGACAAAGTATGTCACTCGTTACTCATCCGTAAACTCGACCTAATCGGCTTTCAGCCCAGTCTTCTTCAATGGATCTCATCTTACCTCTCTGATAGAACACAAAGAGTTATTGTTAATAATTGTTCTTCCAACATCATTAAAGTTTCTTCAGGAGTTCCTCAGGGAAGCCACCTTGGTCCGATTCTGTTCTTGATATTCATTAATGATATTTCTTCTATAATAAAACATTCAAAAATTTTAATGTATGCCGATGATGTGAAACTTTTTAAAACATTGTCCTCTATCGAAGAAAGGTCTTTGTTACAAGGGATCTGAACAACGTGGTTAGTTAGTGTAATACAAACTATATGCCATTAAACCTTCAAAAATGTAAAGTTATGTGTTTCTCCCGAGGGCTGTTCATCCAGCTGTTTATTCAATATCAAATTATAATCTGGAGCAGGTATCCAATTTGGTCGATCTTGGTATCACAATGGATTCCAAAATCAATTTCAACCATCATATTAATGTTACAGTCAATAAAGCCAAAGGCGTTTTTGCATTTGTAAGGCGATGGTCAAAAGAGTTCAAAGATCCTTATGTTACAAAAGCTCTTGTTACCAGTTTAGAAAGACCTATACTAGAATACGGATCTATTGTTTGGAATCCCCGCTACCAAGTTCATTCAGAAAGGATTGAGTCAATTCAAAAACAATTCTTGCTTTTTGCATTGCGTAATTTTAACTGGGATTCAGATTACAATCTCCCCCCTTACACAAGTCATCTAAAGCTCATAAATTTGCCTACACTCGCAAGTCGTAGAGAAATGCTAGGTATAATATTTATCGTAAAATTAATGCCAGGCTTGATTAATAGCCCGGCCCTCCTGGCTGAGGTGAATTTTAATGTTCCTTCTCGAGTGTCAAGACACTTTCGACCTCTATTTCTAAAGCCATGCAAAACTAATTGGGAACTAAACGAATCATTCCGTGGTTTATGTCAAGATTTTAACTGTCATTCCAGCACGTTTGACGTATCGGACTCGATTTTTACCATAAAGAAAATTATTTTTTCCACTCTCAATAATTGAAATACTATCTTTAGCATATCCAATTAGGTGATGAATTTGATTCTGTAGCTGAATAGTTTTAGATCTCGACACTTAACAAACTCCTGTTTCCACTACTCGGCACCAAAAAACTAAAAAAAAACAAGGTTCCGTACGTCATGCGGACTGCGCCCCTCGTGTCGGTTGGGCGGGAATGGAGGGTAAAAAGCCGTTGGGATTAATTAATTAATTAATCTTGAACTATCTTAGGCGAAACTGTGTTGTTTCTCTTTCACTGAAATGTTCCCAATATAGTACTAAAAAGTTCTAAACAAGCTACATTGATTCAGTTTTCGTTGTTCGCTTTGTTCTAATTTCGGGAAATTGAGTCAGAATTGTAATAAAGCTCAAATGTTTTATAATTAAATTTTAAATTGGCAATTATTAGGTCGTTTCCGTGGCATTTTCCTGGTCCACCTGTGCCTGTTTCGCTTTTCGTTACAGATTCGCTTTGACAGATAAGATGAAATGTAGGAAAAAGCACAGAGAATCGTGTTAGCTGAAGCGCGAAGCGAAAACATGGCCAATTTCCTTTTTTTTGTGCGCGTTGACCATCAGCTGGTTTAATATTTGTTTTGTGTCGTCCAAATTCGAGTTTTCATGCATAAATTTCAATTACACTGCTGATATTTTCAAAATTAAATACAGTGCTATCTCGGTAAATCGGACAGCGAGAATCTTGAGGCCGTGCGGATTATTCGAGTGTCCGGATCATAGACGGCATGAAAACAAATTAGTATTCGTCGTTGTTTTTTTTTTATCATACGACCGACATTCACCAGTAAGTG